ATGTTATCTTCTAGTGAGCCATCTTGCATTTTCCGCAAGCCATCCTTAAGGGTTCGCACTGCTCTTTCTGCTGCTCCATTCGACTGAGGATGGAAAGGCGCGGTACGCAAGTGCACAATATTGTTTCTTGCTATAAACGTGGCGAACTCCTGGCTCGTAAATTGCGTGCCATTATCGGACACGATTGTGCGTGGCACTCCGAACCGACAAAACAGACTTCGTAAGCAGCGAATAGTACCCGCTGTGTTCGCATGCATCATAGGTATTGCTTCAATCCGCTTCGTGTGAGCATCTACCACCACAAGTATCATTTTACCGGCTATTGGGCCCGCAAAGTCGATGTGGATTCGGGACCACCTCTCGGCCGTTTTCGGCCAACTCACCGGTGGTGCTGCCGCAGGCATGGGCAGGTTTTCTACACAGCTTACACACTGCGCCGACAATTCCTGAATCTCCCTGTCCATCCTTGGCCACCAAAACAGTGACCGTGCCACCGCTTTCATTGACGAGGAGCCTTGGTGTGTTTCATGTAGCAGCTGCAACATCCTTTCCTGCGCCTTCCGTGGTATGACGACTCTGTTGCCCCAATAGATTAGCCGGTGAGCCATCGACAGCTCCATTTTGCGATCAAAAAAGGGCAGCAAGTCGGGCGCCATTCCACTTGTTGTTCGAGGCCAGCCATGCAAGATGTATTCCACCACACGGACTAACAACGAGTCCTTGGCAGTGAGCTCCTGCAACTCGTGCGTCGTCACTATACCTTCGTCCAGGGCTTCCAACGACAGGACGTACTCGGGAGGCTCCCCTTCGGCTACTGGTTCCGCTGCCGCCGGGGCTGGTAGTCTGCTGAGGGCATCTGCTGTCAGTAGTTGTTTCCCCGGAACGTACTGTAGCTCGTACTGGTAGCCTCCTAGGAACAGTGCCCATCGTTGAATGCGCGCGGCGGCCATCGGCGGCGTTTGGCGGTCAGGCTTGAGCAGTCCCAGCAGTGGCTGATGGTCGGTTACCAGGGTGAATTGCCGACCTAGAAGGTAGTCACGAAAACGAGAAACGCCAAAAATCAGTGCTAAGGCTTCTCGCTCCAGCTGAGAGTAGTTTCGCTCCGCTTTTGTTAACGTTCTGGAGCAAAAACCGATTGGTCTGTGCTCATTTCCCGCCGAGTGAAACAGAACAGCACCCACGCTATACGGGGAAGCATCACATTCTAGCTTCAGTTCCCTGTTGGGATCAAAATGAACGAGAAGCTGCGCATTCTTCAACATTTCTTTCGCTTTCTCGAACGCTGACTGCTGCGGTTCCCGCCATTCCCAATGGGCTCATTTTTTCATGAGCTGATACAAGGGGCTGAGCACAGTCGACATGTTGGGCAGGAAACGTGCGTAGAACGTGAGCATGCCAAGGAACGAGCGCAATTCGCTAACGTTACGCGGGCGCGGGGCTTGCATGATGGCGTCTACGTTCTTTTCAATGGGGTGGAGGCCTTGCCGATCTATACGATGGCCAAGGTAAGTCACAGAAGGTTGCCGAAGCTTGCATTTGTCAATCCTAAGTTTAACGCCGTGCTCTCGGAACCGCTCCAGCGCTCTCTTAAGCTGCTCTCCGTTATCACTCTTGCCTTCTGACCCTAGCGCGTCGTCAAGGTAGGCTTGAACACCCGACAGCCCGCCGAGTACTCCCTCCATCTTTCTTTGAAAAATGGCTGGTGCGGAAGCTATTCCAAACGGAAGTCTGTTATACCGGAAAAGCCCTCGGTGCGTGTTAATGACGCACAGCCCGCTGGACGCTTCAAGGGGCACTTGATTGTATGCATCTTTTAAATCCAAGATGCTGAAATATTCGCCTCCGTTTAAGCTTGCGAACATGTCCTCTATCACCGGAAGAGGGTAATGCTCCACCTCACATGCCGGGTTAAGGGTAGCCTTAAAGTCACCGCATATCCTCACGCTCCCGTCCTTTTTCAAAACGACCACAATAGGTGTAGCCCATTCTGCATGTTGCACGGGCGATAGAACACCAAGTGACACCAGCCGATCAATTTCACGAGAGACCTTATTGCGGAGGGCGTAAGGAAGAGATCTGGGCTTACAGAATTTCGGTGTCGCTGTCTCCTTGAGTTTTAGGCTGGCTGGTGGACCCTTGATTAGTCCAAGGTCTGTTGAGAAAACATCCTCGAACTTGCCGAGCAGTCGGTTCAGCATAGGGTCGCTTGGCTCGGCGCTTGCTGTAGGGTCCGGCTCAGTCAGGTCTCCAATGGGAACGCCCGTCTTGCTAAGCAAAGCAATGAGGTCGCGGCCACATAGGTTGGGTCCTGCATAGTCAAGCACGATGAGCGGGCAAGGCACAGATACACTTTTATACTTCACTGGGAGTTCGAGTTCCCCCAACACCGGAAGCTGTCCCGCGTAACATGACAGCTTGATTCGTGGTGGTTGTAAGCGCGGCCACTGTGCGTGGTGTCGATCGTACACTTGGCGCGATACGACGCACACCGGGGAACCCGTATCCACTTCCATGGCAAGGTCTACGTTGCCCCATCGAAACGTGCGGCGTGGAAATGGGAAACGTGCAGCGTATGGGTGGTTCCAAACCCTTTTTTCTTACCGAAATCAACGTCCAAACGTGTGCGCTATCCAGGTCGTCGTTGCTAGACGCGCTTTCAACTGTCAGTGCCTTTACACTCGCTGCCCGCCTTCCCACCTTTGCATCAGTTGGAGCACTGTAGCATTTCTTTGCCAAATGACCGCGCCGCCCACAGTGATAGCAGCGTGCGTTAACCCAGCGGCAGGCGTTATCGTCGTGCTTCGTGCTTCCACATCGGCCGCAGTCATGCGACGCGCCTAGTGTGTGATTACCTCGAGAGGGCGAGCGATGATGGGCTTGCATTTTTAGCACAGTCGGCGGCTCTGCACTCATATCTTTTACATCGCTGTCGGTTGCCTCGGCTGCAATGGACATTGATTCAGCCTTCTCGAGGGTTAAATCTTTATGTGCCAGTAACTGCTTGCGCAAGTTAGTTGAGCGTACGCCGCAAACAATCCTATCCCTCAACATCCGGCTCAGCGCACTTCCGAAGTTGCAATTGTCTGCTATGCGCCGTATTTCGACTAGGAATGCGTGCACCGACTCCCCTTCTTGTTGGCAACGGGTGAAAAACTTGTAGCTTTCTGCAATCTCGTGACGCTTGGGATCGTAGTAGTCATTTAATGCTGCGACCGCTTCGGCGTAAGTAAGGGAATTCGGCGTCCGAGGTGCAATTAGCCCCGCTTGCGCTTGCACAGTCTGCGTGCTGAGTGCTGCCACCAGAAGTGCTCTCTGCCTTTTGGAGTCAGTAATGGCATTTGCTTCAAAATACGCTTCAGCCCGAACAAGGTATGGTTTCCACTTATCTCTTGTGTCGTCGAACACTGGGAGCTGGAGGCTGGTCATGGTCGCCGGTACTTGTTGCGGCAGGCCGTCGGCTCCAACTTTCACGGCAGCATGGGTGGTTTCCGGGCTCGTCGCCACTGTCGTAACTCAGGCGCGCGCAGCTAAGCAGCAAGGACGATGGTCGGGCAGTCAACGAACAGCGTTTATTGTCCGCAGCGTGGTTATATACACTGGCATTAGGAGAGGGTGAAGGGAGGGGGGAAAGGGAGAATGAAGGCGCACAGGGCCCAAACGAAATGGTGCGCGCGCATCTGGTTTTGCTGGCGTTACAAACAAAACAAATACAACAGCCGAGAACCAATATTGCCTCTAGACACCGTCATACCGTCCCCTGTAGTACCGACCAGTGAATATGCCATGGACGCTATCACTCAAGCCGCTCACGCACGCGAAATCACCCGTACTCGCCTTCTGGCCTCTCAAGAGAAGCAACGGCGCTTGTATGACCGACACCGCGACGTACACTTTCCGCCCGGTTCTTTGGTACGGCTCTGGTCTCCCACCCATCGAGTTGGCTTGTCAGAAAAACTGCTTACTCGCTACACAGGCCCATACCGAGTCCTTCGTGTGGTTACGCCTGTAACATATGAAATTGGTCCTGCCACCCCGTTGCCTTCATGTGCCCAACAGGCTACCGATATTGTACATGTTGCGCGCTTGAAGCCCTACAACTCTCCTTGTGACGTTGACATCTAAATGCGCCGAGACGGCGCTTGCGCCGCCGGGGGTTATGCTACATGCATGTATATTGATATTCTAGGGGGCGACGCGCGTGTGTGCCTGACGAGGAACACGAAGAGTTGTCTCCGCTCGATCGCTGGTGAACCGGGCACGCCATTACCGCTGGTTTTGAATATATCTAATCCCCAGCCTCATCGTTACGGCGTCTCTTCTTTTCCGTAACAGTATAGTAAAATGTTCGGTGCTGCGGAAAATTTCGACTTAGCCGATTTTTCTAGATATGCGAGTTCAAGTAATGGGGTATTAATGTATCAGTAGCCTGTTATAGCTTCATGTGATTGTCTACAATGGCTTGCATTGCACTTACACGATATTTCTTATGCCTGGGTCACACGGAACGCTTCATGTCTGAGCCACCTTCAGGCATTTCTCACCATCTTTTCAGATGTGGAGGCATGTGTTATGACAAATGCAATTCTGTGGTAGCTTTTGGTTGTCTCTATGTTATGATTTTAGATTTTGACAGTCTGAAAAATCTCTTCCTCAATTTCTTGATCCCCTCGATTTATTAAAATATTGCAACAGTGGGGATCGCTTCTTTACACTGAGTTTCAGCTATAGAATGAACTTGTAATTAGTACAGCTGCTGTTTGTTTTGCTGTGTTTTGTCCATGGGACAGGTCTAAGGGGAGAGTGCGGATAATACACATTTAAGCTACGGGATTTCTTATGCAGAAGTAACATTTCTACATTTTGTGGTGCGAATGTCGGCTTATGCAACTGCCTGTATTCTGCTGAAAGTATGACGGGGACAATGTTTTGTTGTGTGGTAGTGCTTTGGTGCGAAAATATGTGCTTTTCATTAATGGTTTGCCTTGGTTATTCTGATGCAGGCACTGAGCTGGTGACACCACCTCTTTCTGGAATCATTTTGCCTGGTGTCACACGTCAGAGTGTTCTTGATCTCACGAGAGAATGGGTAAGTTAACCGAGAAAGCAGAAAAAAAATAATTCTTAACGAATGCATGCCAGTCTGACAACCGACATATACCAAACATATGAAGGTGTTATACAAGTTCTTGCGCAGTCTGGAAGTACTGCGGCATGTCATGTCATGCATGGTCCCCTGTTTGATATGTAATAGCGCTTTCCATTAGCTGAGCAGGAGTTAGGGAAACGAGCAGAAAGAGCAGCACACTGGCGCAGCCGGGATGTATGCTCTCGTCTGCCTAATGGAGTGATCACGGTGCTGCGAGAGCAGAGCTAATAGCGTGTGCGGTGTACCTGATGTCAGGTGTCGTGTGACCAATTTTTCCCTGCGCGCCTGCTTTGTGGACATGTTCAAACATGCCGCAGGCTCGCACTGTGCGGGCAGGCACACCGCTTTCTCGGACATAAAACCAGTCATGTCATGTGACTTCCTCCGCATTCTCATTACTCAGCTGCTGGCGGCGGAACACCAAAAATTGCCCTCAGCACCAGAAAAGGGCCTCTTCTTGACCAATTAAACACAACGCCCCCGCTCCTGCTTGACCACTAGAGGGTGCTGCAACTCGCGAGAGCACTTTGAGTGCAGTTACAAGTCCTCCAGCTCACTCAATGGAAAGTGCTATTACTTAGTGCATAGCTCAACATGCAGCAAGTTTTCGCCTTCACGTACTACTAAGGCTGTAACATTCAGCCAAATGTTGCAAATTATCGCTTTTATCAAAGTGCCGTGCGGACCTTACCCAAAGTGAGCTTTTTAGTTGGAATTACTCAAAGCCCATGGGCAGCAGGCTCGATTCGATACTAAGAAAACTCAGAAAAGCTTAGAATCGGAAGATGCCTGAGCGGTGGCGCGGCCCACCAGTGATGCAGAGGGTTGCACGTCTCTGGTAATTGGAACACTTCTTGCCAATTTTCACCAAGATATAGCACAGAGAAACCATGTGCCATTGTTTGGATGGTGCTAAAGCTTTGACCAACGGCTTGGCCTCAAATGGGGCATGATGCTTGTTTCTTGCATAGCTCTTAAACTACTAGACTGCACACATGGCCAGTGTCAGATATCATGGTGATGTGGTGTACTGAGAGCACTGCATTAGATTCACAGACCTACTCCCGCATTGTACTATTATAGTTGTCTCCATGCCCCGTTTTCATCATTCCGAAATGAACCATGGCAGCGACATTACTGCACAGATGCTTGGTGTGTAGTGTTGAGACATTGGGGTTGCATTGTTTTGAGAGTTGTGACAACTTCTTCGTGCATGAGGCTTCTTATATTTGCCCAGCCAATAGAGCAAAGTGCTGGGAGAATAGCCTGAGAAGTTGTACCTCTCTCCAGGTACTATAAAGAACACTCTTAACTTTGTTCGTTCCTAAAGAAGGACGCTGTAATTCAATGTCTCTTTCTTCCTTCCTTTTTTGCCTTAGGAAAGGACACTGTAAATGCAATGTTTTAAATAGCCCATTGCAGAGCAGGGAAAGTTTTTCACTGTCTTGCCATCTGTCGTGGCAGTTTGGAAACTGCTGTAGACATGTTCATCTTATTATCTTAGTCTCATTTCGTACGCTCCAATAAATTATGCCAGTGAAATGTCTGACCAAGGAGATAGCTACAAAGATTGAGCATGTGAAGTGTAGGTCTATGCACTGTCATGCCGCTGTGGCATTATTGTGAATGACAATTGTGCAGATTCAATCGCAAAAGCGAGGTGTGGAGACATGGACACATTGGGAAGACCAGGCAATGCTTATGCCAACTAGCTAAACTTTCTCTTTTAAGTCGCTGCATTGTTGTGACCTAAGTGAACTGTTGGTCCACTGTTAGCTAGCCACGATGGCGATTTTGCTAGGTTTTGTATTGAGTTATGTACATTTAAATAGTCCCTACTTGAAAAACTGTAGCTTTATTTTAATTTCTCTCCTCCCAGAATGAGTTCAAGGTCTCGGAGCGTAAGATAACCATGGCAGAAATCAGAGAAGCTCTCAAGGAAGACAGGGTGAGTGGTTTTGGAGCACAAGCATTTGCGGTCTTGACATTTCTGCAGTCAATGACTAATGAAAGCTTTTAAAAAAGTTTTCCACGGCTGTTCAACATTTTCAGTGGGGCCAGTATGTACAACCAAAACCAAATTTCGTATGCTTTGCAATGTCCAAGTTTATTTTTGTTTCATTTGTTGCATGTGACTCCAGTTAGGGGAAGTTCATCTCGGCTGCCATATTATGAGGTGCCTCATACCTTCATTTTAGTGTAGTACAAGTTGGGTTTGTTGTCGCCATATCAAATCATGAGCAGTGTTAGTGGATCTGTCATTGTGAGTGAAAACTTCAGCTTGTTATCGACAGAATAATTCAAGCATATTTACTCGAATATAGTGATCCCATTTATTTCGATAAAATGTGTCTGAATATTGCCTGTGCATTATGCTCACATACAAAATCAAAAGTATGTCTGCAGTGTTTACAGTGTTCTAGGTTCAGATGGGTTTGAGCCAGTGTCGTTGCTATTACAAAATGACGAAGAAGCACATAGCATGTGGATTTTTGTAGGATCTTGTGCTTGACTGTGACATGTGCATAAGTCTGTGCCCAATGAAGTTCAAGTGGTGATGCACTGATTGTGCCATGAAAGCTCACATTAGAGGAAAGTTATCTGCACGCGGAACAGAGCTGTAACTTGCTGCATCATGTCATTTCTGCATACCTGAAAACTGTGCCCACGAGTGGTGCTAAGGAAGGAAGGATATTCATCATTTGAATCGGTAAACAAAGCAATCATGATGTTGACGACGCATGAGGAACGAATGAAACACTAGGCGGTGCTCCGACTATTGCCGTCTGTTGTGACCGTATGCAGTTATGACCATACAGTTCATAGTCAGCGGTTCGCAGGATGTGTTGTTCGTTCCTCTGCTTTATCATCATTTTCACCGAGCGTGTTTCCCGATTCAAGACGTTTAACCAACTAGCCAACAAGTTTACCTTAGGGGTGGTGCAAAGGGAGGATATTTTGCGCCATTCAGCTGCATGTCAATGAGAAAAATTTCTCAGGCTGTAAATTGAAAAGTATCTAGACTTCAAAGACAAGCTTGCCTTCCTTCATGAGCAAGTCCGTCTAGACTGAGTTTCTCAAGGTAACAGCCCCTGCATTGGTATGTGGTTGAGGCCTATCCAGAAACTACCTATAAAGCCAGAAAAACTGCGTCGCAGGACAAAAGGAATTACCGGGTGAAACATTTTTTGTTCCATGGCTGCAAGCTGAGCTTGTGTACTTTTTTTTTTCTGGTCACCAACCTGGGGTAATGCAACCCCGCTGCGGTGGTCTAGTGGCTAAGGTACTCGGCTGCTGACCTGCAGGTCGCTGGATCGAATCCTGGCTGCAGCGGCTGCATTTTCAATGGAGGCGGAAATGCTGTAGGCCCGTGTGCTCAGATTTGAGTGCACGTGAAAGAACCCCAAGTGGTTGAAATTTCTGGAGCGATCCACAACGGCGTTTCTCATAATCATAAGGTGGTTTTGGGACGTTAAACTCCACATATCAATCAATCAGCCTGGGGGCATGCAGTTGTTTTCTTTTCGAATTAATTACATTAATATTCAATGTTTGTCATTTTTTAACCTGGTGGAGGTTGGGTGCATGTTATATTTGGGTGGCTACGGTGGTGAGTAGTGAGTAAGGAAAGCCTTGTTTGGCAGAGAGTAGAGAAGTGCGTGATGGATAGTTAATTGTTGTGTTACAGCTACTGGAGATGTTTGGCTGTGGGACAGCGTGCGTCATCTGTCCGATCGAGCGGCTATACCACAGGGGCGAGAACCTGCACATTCCCACCATGGAGCAGAGCAGCCCACTGGCCAACCGGGTGTTGAAGGCCATCACAGACATCCAGGTGAGTTGTGCAAATAACTCGTACGGTTAAAGCTTGTTTAATTCAAAGTTGAAGACAACTACCGAATTGCTTTAATTAAGAGTAGTTCAAATCAGCAGGTAGGTGGGCGCTACAGTGAGCCGACATCATGTCACACTGCGCCGGCAGAACTCAAAGCAGGCATTTCTGGACTCATTATCACGAATTACCGTATTTACTTGCGTAATTCTCACACCCCCCACATAGCCCAACAAAAATACGATTTTTTTCCCACAAGTAATTATTACACTCACAAAAATTGCAGCCGAAGTGTTGTCTGCTCCTTCCAACCAATGATGATGATAGCATGCAGCAGCCTGGGGCCGTCTCTTAAGCACGGAGTACACGAACAATCAATATATCATATAAGGCACGACTACCACCAAGCGCTCGGGGAAGGACACAATATTGTATTTCAATGGTTGCCGAGTCGTTGCGGAATTGTCGGCAATGACCGCACGGATGAAGCTGCTCGATTGCCTCTCACCAAGACCTGTGGATGCCCATATGGCTCTTGAGAACAGACGCTGCTCGCTGACTACAATCACTTGCTTGCCATATCACGCTTTACAATGGAATACATGGGGTTTCTCGAACGTGCACCTGTATTCGATTGAACCAACCTTCAACTTCGTTTGCCATCCAGGCTCTCACGACGCAATGAAACTTTGCTGTGTCGCCTATGGTTCAGCGTGGCATTTACGAATGCGTATTCGTGTCTCATTGGAATGGCCAGCAGTGCGACGTGCAACATTTGTGCCTGCGAGGAGGCACTTGCGCACATTCTATGCTACTGGCTATCATACTAATCTGAACGACGTGGTATGGAAGCTAAGCTCCATCACCTCGATTCACAAGTACTTACAGAAAAGAATATCCTGGGACCTTGGCTGATGGTCTCGTATGTTCGCAAAGCCACGAAAGCTCTCTTGTGCTTCTTAAGGGCCACCGGACTTCACGAGCGCTTGTGAAAGAACTTCGTGAAACTGTGCTGTGTAGTCTCGAGCTGACTATTTATCCAACTCTTTCTTACTTTTCTTCTTTTCTGTTCGTCTCTTTCCTTTCTATTATTCCCCCTTTTTCCCACCCCAAGTGTAGGGTAGCCAAGCTTGGTTAACCTCCCTGCCTTTCCTCTCCATTTCTCTCTTTCTCGACACATGGACATGGCCTCCGAGATGGCAGGCGCGTGGAGTGTTTCTGTCCGGCTGTCCCTATCGCATTTAGAGAGCGTGTTTCGCAAAGTGGGCGTGGTCTGCTCTTTTCTCCGCACCGCGGCACTCTCACAGAAGACTGAAACGGCTGTCGTGCTGTAAGCGCAGTTTGCATGTGGCGCGAAAAAAAATTGTTTTGCACTTTTATATAACCTCGTGCTCACTTGGAAATGTCGTGTCAAGGTGCACGAGAGGCAAAGTGAATGATAAAGTATATATTTCCCAATGGGATTTTTTTTTTGTATATTTGTGCCACCCATATTAGGGCACTTAAAATTGCGATGCCTCTGCAAGAGATCCCCTTGCTGGGCCAACCAAACTCGGCATTCAGCATCAGTAATCTTCATCCTCCTTTTCGTGCCATGCCATTGTGTCACTGTGGCAACGTTTTATGGTACAGTGAAATGCTGCTGCAGCAAAGCTGACAGGGCACGGAAAAAATTTCGTTGAAGCGAAAATTTCATTGTAGTGAAATCGAAAAAAAAAACATACAGCTGACCTTAGCTAGCAATACAAAGGAACTTTTATTCCCAAAATGTAAAAAAGTGTCTGCTGTTCCTTTTCTTTCTAAGCAGCATCACGACGCAATTCTCGCCCATGCATAGAGCCATAGCAAAAATTCGCTGAAACAATGCCACAGTGGTGCTCGTGAACAAACCTAACAGTTGCACTAACACCCCGACACAAGCAGCTGTGCGCCATCAAAGTCTATCTGACAAGTGGTGGCTTATGCCTATTCCTATCATCCACCAGTCACGATAGGCTGATTTTATTGATAACATGGACGAACAGCCACTGTGACCACTGTCCACACTGGCCAAGCTAAAACAAAAAAAATATAAACCAAAAGCATTGGCATCAGAAAAACCATCATTCAGCTATTGCACCTAGCAGTTGCGTAGGGGCAACTATGAATTGAGCGACTGAGCTTCAGTTTTGGATTATCTGCGGCTCAAAAGCAAGCCAGCGAAAAAAGCAAGGCATTGTCATTACCATCGCTATCGAGCAATGGTGGCTCCCATACTTGGTAAGCAGCAGCAGTTTCTGGTGGTGTCATCGCGTGTGTTGGACTTCATCGACGTAAGTTTATGTTCTGAAAACACATCAAAATTGTTCCGACTTGTATGTAATCGTGAAGTCGTATTCTTGTAAGCGAAGAATCCAGCGACCAAGGCGGCCGGACAAGTTCTTGATTGTCGAGAGCCAGCACAAGGTGTGATGGTCCGTAACCACAGAGGACTGGTTCAGATGTGAGTGCACACTTCAGTTGGGCAAACGCCACTTCACATTCAGGAGGCCACACAAAGGCGACGTCTGATCCGAGCAACTTGTGCAACGGTGAAGCTATTGAGATGAAGTCTCGAATCAATCGGCGAAAATAAGAAGCGAGGCCAAGGAAACTGCGCAAATCTTTGGCTTTTCAGGACGCGGGAAGTGTTGGACAGCGGAAATCTTGTCTGGATCGGGACGAATACCGTCCTTGCTTACAATGTGGCCTAACACTTTAATCGTCTTGCTCGCAAAACGGCACTTCTTGGCGTTCAAATGAAGGCCTGCGTTTGCGAGGCACGTAAGAACTTCGTCCAGTCGTTGCAAGTGCCGAGGGAAGGTTGACGAGAAAATAATGAAATCGTCTAAATAGCACAAGCAAGTTTTCCATTTCAAGCCTCGTAAAACAGTATCGATCATCCGCTCGAATGTTGCTGGAGCATTGCAAAGGCCGAATGGCATGACGAATTCGTACAGCCCATCTGGTGTTGAAAACGCTGTCTTTGTCATCCTCATGCATGGGTATTTGCCAGTAACCTGAACGCAGGTCTAAGCTTGAGAAGTACTCGGCACCTTGCAGTGAATCCAAAGCATCGTCTATGCGCAGCATGGGGTAAACATCCTTGTAGGTAATCTTATTAAGTGCTCTGTAGTCCACGCAAAATCGCACTGAGCCATCTTTTTTCTTTACTAAAACAACAGGGGATGACAAAGGACTCGCGGAGGGACGTATAATGTTCTGTTGCAGCATATAGGCTACATTTTGTTCAATGATCTCACGCTCGGACGAAGAGACGCGACATGGTCGACGGCGTACGATGGAAGTGCCATCGGTCTGGATACGATGCCTAATAATGGACGTCTGTCCCAGAGATGAGAAATGGGCATCAAACAATCTCCTATGCTTTTGTAGCAAGGCAAGCAACTCATCTGTCTGTGAAGAGGTCAGTTCTGGACTGTATGGCAGGTCGCAGCAAGAACAGAAACGCTTGATGAACGTCCAATAGAAGGAAGGTCAGAACACGCTGGCATAAGCGGGACAACACAGACAGGTTGGGATTCAGTAACGCAAGCCATTGTGGTGCCTTTAGGAATGAGAATTTTCTCAGACGTCTGGTTTGTAGCGTAGAGAAGTCCGGAGCCATTGTGGAACCGCGCTAGACCTGAAGCAAGGGCTATACCTCTTGCGAGACAGCGTGCAGATGGTTGGACAAACACGTCACCAGAGTCGATCACATTAGAAGTGATGTTAACTATTCGCTGATGACCAGGTGATAGCTCGGTATCTTCAGCAGCGAGCAAGCGAACGGGCTTGTCATCCGCATACAGGGCATATTTAGTTTCCATCATATGAACAACATTTTCTCGACAGCAGATGGAAGCGTTCGCCGTAGACAGAAAATCCCAGCCTAATATAAGCTGGTGGGCACACAAACTCAGCACAGCAAATTGCACAAAATGAAGAAGACCAGCTATGAAAACACGAGCGGTGCACATTGCGGCAGGTCTAATGGCGTCCCCTTGAGCAGCGAGCAGTGTAGGTCCATCATAAGGGGTGGAGACTTTCCGCAGACGTGAGCACAAGGAACGATCAATCACAGACAAACAAGTGCCAGTGTCTATTAAAGCGTCCACGTACACACCTTCTATTAAAACAGATATCGTATTATATGGACGCACGGGAGGAATTTCTGTCTTTTCGTTCGATGCAGCTTTTCCTCCAAAACCTGCAGAGGTTAGTTTTCTGGGTGTCATTTGGTGAATTGCGAGACAGGTTGCAATGGAGACGTGGGGCGGCAAGGGTGAGTGGCGTCTAGTAGAGCGGTAAGAAGTGGTTAGCTCAGATGTCGCAGTTGGAGACGGTGAGCGGCGTAGCGGCGGATCATAAGGGCGATGTTGGAAAGCGTACCAGCTTGTCCTATCATCCTGTTCGTAGGTGTCGAATCCATGACGCTCGTCCTGCTGACGCTTCTGACAGACGCGTGCAATGTGGTCCCGATAGCCGCAGTAATAACAGATCGGACGAGGCGGCCGCCATGGTGGGTGAAAGGGCTGGCTAGGCGCACTCGAAGTTAACGAAGCCAGTGGGACAGGCGTCGAGTGTGCGGGCATCGGTTGTACGACGGGTGGTGAGCCAGCGAGGACTTGTGCGTACGTCGGCTGGAGTCGTACTGGAAAGTCTACATATGCTGGCCCGGTCATGGACTCCAACTCCTCTTTGATAGTCTATATACGCTGGCCCGGTAATGGACTCCAACTCCTCTTTGATAACGTCGCGCAAAACAGTGTTGGAGGGGGGAGGGGGACTCAATGTCATTTAGAGACTGGAAGATTGCAGCTCTTCCCGTATAATCGCCCGGATCATGGCACACAATGAGGCATCAGTCGTGGTGGTGTTTTCAGCGCTTTCCGGCGGTAACCGTTAGGACTCAAGTTTCTCTAGGCGTTGGCACGTGGCAACGTCAGCGACTGTGGTCGGGTTTTGTATGACCAAGGCATTGAACGCAACTGTGCCGATCCCTTTCAATAGATGACGAACTCTCTCTGATTCAGACATGGACGTGCTGATACGGTGACAGAGAGCAAGCACATCCTCTATGTACGATGTGTAAGACTTACCGCATTGCTGCTTGCGAGCATCCAGTGTCTTCTTCGCGAGAGCTGAACGAACCACCGGGGTGCCGAAAATTTGGCGAAGCTGTTGCTTGAAGCGTGTCCAGTCCGTAATGTCCGTTTCATGATTGAAAAACCATGTTTTCGCTACGCCTGTCAGAGATAACGAAACACGGCGAAGCTTGGTAGGATCATTCCAGTTGTTAGTCGAACTCTCTCGATGGAACTGGTCCAACCAGTTCCATCCAGTTATGAACTGGTCCAACCAGTTATGAGGCAAGGCAGGAAGGTTGTCTTTATCGTGGATGATTACCCAGCATAGGTCAAGTTCAAGGACTCCAAGCCATCAGTCTGGAATTCTTGCCACTCAATGCACTGGCAGTGATTCAGCGGATGGATCGAGGGGTTATTCAGAACATTAAAGTTCATTACCGCAGACAATTGCTCCATCAAATGCTGCTTAAAGCAGGCAGCGGCAAATGCTACAGCATAGATTTATTGGCAGCCATCCACATTTTGGCTTGTGCCTGGGAGCAAGTGAAGGCAATAACAATACACAGATGCTTTCACCATGGTGGCTTTCAAGCACAAGAAACAGTACCTAATGAAAAAGAAAGCCCTGCTGATGCTGACATTGAGACAGTATTCAGTCAGGTCGTGCTCTCTGCCCCTTTCACGTTGCAGGACTATGAATCAATTGATGAAAATGTTCGTACCTGTCCGGAAGAGACCGTCGAGGAAATGTTTGTCGAAGTGCAAGATGAGGATCAACTTTCCAGCAATGAATGTGATGACAATACTGCCAGTGCAGTGGTGCCACCAGACCGATTAGCTATAGAGGGTGTTGAACTTTTGCAGCGCTATTTTGAGCATGAGGCTTGTCCAGAATTTCTAGCTAGTTTGTCAGGCATGGGTGCATACCTTGTGAAAAAAAAACAAAAAACAACTCAATCTTGCCAAACAAACCACTCTTTACTCCTTTTGTTTTCCTACTCATCCTCATGAGTAAGGTGAGGTTTGTGAAATTTGAATAAAGGTTTTGCTTCACTAAATAAGTGTACTTTGTTTAAATGAAACTCCTGATAAATGAAACAGTTTTATGGATCCCCTTTCTAGTTCCGTTTAAGAAGAAGCGACTATAGTACGATCTCGATGATACAATTTGAAGGGAGCACGCAAAATATTTGTATCATCCCGAGTTCGTATGGACCAAAACCAAGTCAAGCGGATCATGAGCATGAACAAGTACTTTATTGGGGTACATTTTGCTAAAAAAAAGTTCATAATGTTCTTTTGAACTTTCCTGCCTTCACCCTCTCTCCGTTAAGTGCTGGGGTTTCCTCAGTCATGCTGCTGGCACTTAAAGGTGCGTTCACGCTTGACATCAGAAGGAGTAGAAGTGGCAAAACTAATTGGAAATTTACTAGTTTTGCCGCATAAGCGGCTGAAAAACTGTGCCACGAAATTGATATGAAAACAATGAGTCCTAGAGAATTCACACAAAAGAATTCAAGCAAAAACACCAGGGCAGCCTGAAAACCATGCCGGCGCCCATCGAAAACGTTCACATTCGTTCTGCCCCTCGTATGTGCTACCGCCGCTGCCACTATCGCTGCTTGAGAATTCATTCCACTTTGCCTGTTTTCTGAGCATTAAAGTTCATTCTGAGTTCTAGGTATGCATGCAAAATGCAGAAAAGAAACAGTTTACCCCTTTGAAAACATTTCGAGAGATACGCCTGCAGCAACGACGCGAGTAGAAGCACCGGCGGCGGATTCAGCCGGCAGTTCGAAAGTAAAATACGTTAAGGCATGACGATTTGCTGCTTCTGCACTTTCTTCTACTTCCCGTGTTCACAGCGGTGGTAATCTAAACCAGGCGCTCTATGAATGCGCCCTTGTCAAGGCCATGAGCTTTGACATGCTGCAAGGGTTGTCCACCGCCGATGCCTTTGCCATCGTGCTGAAGTTGCAGCTGGTTGTTTACATCACGTGGTTTGAGAGCTAGTGCAGCCGGTGTAGATAAAGCTGGGAAGCAAAAAGGCGATCTGTAATCGCGTGGCGAGAAAATTGGTCTCGGATCGATTTTTTTCGTGTCGGCTTTGCGCCATGGTTTTTTGTCCACTTAGGCGGCGAAGCGAGGGAAATTCCAGTGAGTTGTGACTCATTTACTCCCTTCGAGGCCAAGTGTGAACAGGCCTTCCCCCTCCTCATAGATAAGGCACGTTGCACCGCTTGCATGCAGCTATCAATCGCATGTTCGGATCACACCGAATCATGGCATATTTTATACGCATAATACGTGATCATATCGTCGAGATTCTATGTATGTATGAGCCAGTTAAACACTGCATTGTCACTTGATGCAGTATGATTTGCTAAAGCTCTGCATGCTTTTTTTTTTTCCAGTATGGAGTCGTACCACACAGCTGGGCCATAGAAGTGGAGTGACGTAGGGCATTGAATTGAACAGTATGCTACAAATTGTCATTACGCGTGCTCTCAAAAAGAGTAGATATGTTTCCTAGCAGAGCTGGATGCATTGGCTCTAAGGGCACAGACTGAATACAACAGGTCGATTGTGAAGATACATCTCTTCTCACGTTTGTGTTTTCTTTTATACTCTACATATGTGATTATATTTCTCGTTCTTTTCCCGTGTTTGGGAATCACTGACGTACCACATCTTCAGTCCTCTCAGCCATTTTGTGCACTCTGCTGCCGACAACTGACATTTTGCAAGTTCCTGATAATGTCGGAAGAAAACTGCTGAATGAGAGAGGTTGTGTTTTGTGCAAGCCAACTGTGACTCTTATTGAATGTGTTCAGTGCTTTGACGTTGTACAAATGTCACAAATGGCTTGTGCGAGAATAAAATTTTGCAGTTTTCGTTTACGTCGGCACCTTATTTCAGGAATGCGTATTTTGATCTTACGAAATTTATCACACACGTGGCGTGTCTTGCTTTCTGATCATCAGTGAAGTGTTGTTCTTAACGTACTTTATAAAACTCTGAAGTTGCTGATTTTCACATATATGTACTCTGTCACACTTTCCCATGCTGCTAGTTTGTGGCAGAAAACCATGTGCTGCGACTTGTGTTCCAAATGTTTGCTGTATATCTGTAAAGTTTGATTAAGTCCTTAAGCGTAAATTATGTATTAAAGCCAGTGGTTTGTTCTCAGTGTTGAACCATCTTTCTGCTTCTCTACCATTAGCATGAAATCGAGCATTTTTTAAAATTGCATTCTTGGTCGAATTTCGGTAGGCAGCATTTGATCAGCTGTATAGAATCACATCACGAAACTATAAATAGTGAAGTTACTGTTTGCGCTTTTCACGCAAGTTTCGATTAAGCTTACCTCCGGGTATTTTCTGTTGTTTAAGACAGCTCAGCACTTTGTGGGTGAGCTTTCTTTGTACGTGTATTGATTTCCTATGTAAACGTGGCCCCAGAAAGTGCTGTGTCGTGGCAAGCTGAAGGCTGCGTCTCATTTTCCTGTTTGTACAGCAAAACCTTGTTGATTCGAAAAATGAAATAATTTGGTCTCGTCCAAGTGGTCTTGGCACGTTTGTATTAGTTAATGGCTCCAAGCGTGTTCATTTGGTCAAATTTGATCTCATGTATGATTAGGGTTATCCTTGAAGCGTGAAGCCATATACAGTTTGTGTCGCGGTATTCATTAGTAGGAACTGTAAGGTAAGAAAGGCCAGAACACTTTACACGTATTTGCATCTACCACTGTGTTGATTGTGTGTGCATTCAGGACAGGGGTATCTGTTTAGGATCATGTTCTTAGTGACCTAGGTTTTATGCAGTTGTGCCCAACAGTAGTTTCGTTTTAATGCAGTGCGATTAGGTCACACGTGTGCTCTCAAAAATGCAGGGCACCACTTATGGCCATGTTTCTTTGCAACTGGTTTTGTCTGCAGTGAATAGGGCAAATAGTATAATTTTGTTCAGTCGAGGACATTTCGATTTTTAAAATCATCTTAGGCACACTGCACGCACAGTGTCACAAATGTCAAGCTTTCGAGGTTGAAGAGGCTTCTATTGTGGTCTGCATGCTGGCATCAAATGTAGCCGCTACATGGTGATTGGCAATCTGTTGCTGACCAGTTTACTGGTGAAAAAAAAAGTTTTTGTCCTGAGTGCATGATGGTGGTGGTTGCAGTGGCAATTGAAAGAGGGTGTGCTTGCGAAAAGCACATCCATCTTTCTTGCATTTCATGAGTTTTCACAATGTGATTGCATTTTGAAATAAGTTGCGGGATAAGAATTGAAACAGCAGATTTTTTTTTTTTACCGTGGGAAATTCGGATTGATGAGCTTTTACTGCAGTGTGCCTCTGTGAGCAAATGGGGCCAAGAACCTTGAGCATCTCTCGACTCTTGCATGGGATGTGTTGTGATGTCGCTGGTAGCAATGCCTGTGATAACACTTCTGCTTCTGAATATAAGGCAGGGTCTAGTCAGCAAACTAAATGGTTGTAAGGATTTCGATGCCTTTGTGCAGTTGCGTGCATGTCCCTTCTCTTCTTTATGTCCTCTGTGAAGATTATTTATGTCTGCATAATATGTAAGTGTTGCACTGAAAAGCAATGTTACCAGCGATATTACTTTTCATTAAATGCAGAGAATGGAAGAGCAAGTGGGGTATAAAATGATATGTTCCTTTATTATGAAGATTGTTAATGAGAACTATTGATAACTGTTGGTTCTCATATTGTCTATCAAAAGAGCCCTTCAATTTATCTTTTTTTTTTCTTTATTATGAAGCTTAAGCTAACTCCCTCTTAGCTCTAAAACATATAGAATGAACTTCGTCAGAATATCACTCCAAGTCGCAATGGAAAAGAAACCTGCATGCTGTCGGCTATTATGGCAACGTGGTGATTGGTTCCCTTATTTGAATATACCCGCCATACCTGTTTCAGCCATTAGAAATTCCGATATGAAAAGCAAGTCGTGCTTTTACTACTCATTGTTGCTATGCAAGGCGTACACCCTTCAGCACAACACTGTCGTGAAGAACCCAACAGTCTCCCACCACAACAGCTTCTGCCACAATCTGTGCCACAATCTGTGCCACCTCTGAAGAAAAGCCAGTTTTGCCCTGTCAGCATGATACAACCAAGTTTCCTCTTGCGTCTGGTTTCCTGTGCGATCAGCGACAAGATCCCATGAGCAAGAACTGCACTTCCTGGATTTATTAGCCATGTGCTCGGTGTCAAAGAATTATGTGTAAAGAAGCAGGATATAGTCTCAACTCGGCTGTCTTGTATAGTGCGTTTGGTGAAATACCAGACGGTGAGATGTACCTTGGTGGTACCTTGATATCTGTCTGCATGTTTTATCCCACTTGGTTCAACTCTTCCCCAGCAGTGTCTTTCTCCATTTCCTTCCCTGTAATAAGTGTTAGCACAGCTTTCTAATTAGTGTTGGCACTGCAAGAGCATGTTTTCACGGAAACTCCGAAAATGTCGTAGCACCAGCAAATGAGGAATAGAGGATGAAAATATTGACAAAATAATGTATCCAAGTTCTTAACATGTTGTCTGATGGTGCAAGATATTCTCCTCAATGAGTGTTAGCCCTAAATGTATGCTTCATTGTGTGGTCACTTATAGAATGCATTCGCTCGAAGATTAAAAAATGCACCGAGGATTAAAAAATTGCTTTTGCATTGTGTTGGTGGTCTAGCAGTTCTGCCATCATGCAAAGTGCCACACGTTCATTACGCAGTTTCAAAGGGGTACTCAAAGGTAAAGTTCATTGCATACATACTCTAGCGAGATTTGCCGCGAACTACGCATGGAATTGACCAATGTATGTTCCTGCTTTCGCCTTCTTATTTGAGCTTGCTTTAGCTTTTACACTTGGAACCAGTTTTGTTTGACAATCCATGATGTTCACTGAAGGGCAACTAGAAAGTGCTGTGTTATGGCAAGCTGAAGGCTGCGTCTAATTGACATCTTTTCGCCAACAAAACTTCGTGGCCACTTCCAATCGAGATGTTTGTATATTTTGTCTGCCATCTTAGGGACAAGCTACTCGGCAAGCACTGCCATGTCGGGTGAAGTTCATCTCTAAATTAATTTTTAATTGTTATCTGATGAAATCACACGATGTGGCAGACGGGAAATTTGTACCTGAACCTGTAAGAAGCTCGATTGCATAACTAGCTCAGCATATGGTTATGTGGATGTTCTGGTTTTTCTTTTTTTTGTCTACAAGCCACCGAACCCTATTGCTACTTTTCTGTCAAATAAAATGCACCGCCTAAAAGATGCTCTGCACTGCAGTCTCATTGTTTGATAAAAATGTACCTTGTTTTCAACATGTGAAGCAGGCAAAATGCTATGAACTCTAGCGAGACCGCTTGCTTCTGGCCTTCACAAACAAATAAGGCATTGCACTTGAAAAAAAAAAAAAAATCGTATGTCTCATGCAATATGTAGGTGAGATTCAAGAACATGCAATGTCGCTGGAGTTGCATGATTGCATCTGGTCTAATATGTAAAACTTGCAAACACCTTCAAGATGGTGTTATAGTTTGACATCGAAAGTCATTATGACCATTCGTATCAAGTCTAGACATTGGAGCAGAGGCTACAAAGGCGGGGCTCCCGCACGTTTGTGTTGCTTTGTGAGTAGCCTGTGGCTAGTTTCGGTTTTGCTCGCTCACGTGGTTAACGAGTTCAGAAAAATAAAATATACATGAAAATATTAATGGGAGAAACGTATATTGTTCAGTGCCCTATTGCGAGTTTTTTTTTTTTTTTAACTAAAAGGTGCGTTCGCGGCCGAACGCTAACGTCACGGGCTCCACGTTTTCTTGGAAAACGAGTGGGGGTAAAAGGTGGTGCTGTCTAACAGATGGAAAGAAGTACAAAAAGTAAGCGGTCATGTAACTTGCTATGTGAACAATGCTGTATTTTATCTACAAAGTACCGCAACTGTTTCAGTCTCGTGTAATAAATAAAAGCGTGTGCCCTTGCTATATTGCTTCCACAATGCTATACTTCTCCCCATTCTAGCTTTGGTAACCCGGCTGAAACAATGTAATCGCTATTGGGGCTCGCACTTCGGCTTATTTTGACACGATGACTGGAGTCTCCGCAATGCGGATATGGCAAGTATTTGCGAACGAAGGTTGATGAAGACCCTCGTGTGCGCAGATTCTATCCGGTAACATGGTAACGCAAATCGTATACGTACAAGCTAAAACCCACTAATGGCGGTCACAATGCGACTGAAGACCGTGCGGGTAGAGAATGCGCGGTTGCCGCGCTATCATGCACGTAAAGATAACTTCGCCGCGTGAATTGAACATTTGACGTCACTTTGCACCACGTGACACCACTCGCCGAATAGCAGCGCGAGCGGCTGTAGGAAAAGGTAGGAAATTCGGGGCTCTTATCACCCCTGATAAGGCTGAAGTTTTTTCTGACGTCACAACTTGCAACAAAGGATATACTCTGCGTTGATATTGGAGCATCCCGAGCTGAAGCTTCCCCTGATGCGTTAGCTTTCCCGCAATGCATGTCGAAAAGCAGCCAAAGAAGCTGAGGCCCTTATCGCCCCTGATAAGGCGCAACTTTTTCGCTGACGTCACACCCTGCACCGGAGGATATACTGTACGTTTATACTAGAGTCTCCCGAGCTGAAGCTTCCCCCTGATATATTGGCTTTCCCCATTGTAAGTCAAAAAGCAACCGAAAAATTTGAGGCCCTTATCACGCCTGATAAGGCTCAACTTTTGTCTGACGTCACACCATGCAACGAAGGATGTAGTGTACGTTTATATTAGTCTCCCGAGCTGAAGCTTCCCCTGATGCCTTGGCTTTCCCACAATGCATGTCAGAAAACCAGCCGAAAAAGTTGAGGCCCTTATCGCACCTGATAAGGCTCAACTTTTGTCTGACGTCACACCGTGACGCATTGGCTTTTTCCCTGACGCATTGGCTTTCCCCCTTTGCATGTCAGAAAGCAGCCGAAAAAGTCGAGGTGCTTATCACCCCTGATAAGGCTCAACTTTTGTCTGACGTCACACCTTAAAGCGGTGAACCTAATATTGCATCTTCTGGTTTCGCATGTGTTGGAAACGGCTAAAAAATCTGATGACGTCAGACAAAAGTTGAGCCTTATCAGGCTGATAAGGGCTTCAACTTAATCGACTGCTTTTTTTTTTTACATGCATTGCGAGAAAGCAAACGCACCTGGAAAGCTTCATCTCTGTAGGCTCTAATATAAACGTACATTATATCCTTCGTTGCAAGTTGTGACGTCAGACAAAAGTTGAGCCTTATCAGGGGTGATAAGAGCCCCGACTATTTCGGCTGCTTTTCTACATGCACTGCAGGATAGCCAAAGTATCAGGGGAAGTTTCTGCTCGGGAGGCTCCTACGCGCACAGGAGGTCCGTCTTTGCACGGTGTGACGTCACACTGAAGTTGAGCCGCTATCCCGGAGTTCCTTACAATAAAATCACGCTTATTAATCACCTCCAGCCTTCAGTTTGTAACCTTGGGACATCTGCATATATACCTGCACTGTATTACAGTTATTCTTACCCGACTAATAAAGATTTATTGGTGGCTTGATTTATTGGTGGCTCGAAAAGGAGACTGTGAGCAGAGCTTCTATATACGTCGATGACATAGAAGCCGCCTCGATGATTGAAGGTGTCTGTTCATCCATTCATATCTGCCACGTAATACAAATCGCACTGAAGAAACATATATATAAAACAAAATAAATCTTGTAGGCTGCGTTGAGTTTCGAAACCACTGGCTCACGCTGCAAAGGCGAGTGCCTTACCCACTGGGCTAAAGGCCCAGGCGTGCACAGCATCGCTATCTCTGAACCTAGTGAATGCGCCCTGAAGTAATTCACGTATCAAATAAAGAAAAATTTGCACTGCTGCACTGAGCTTCGAACCTAGGGCCCCACGCTCCAAAGGCGAGTGTCTTACCCACTGGGCTAAAAACCCAGGTTTGCAGGACGTTTGTATCTCTCAACCTTAATAATGCTCTAAAAATAAATGGTGCGAGATGGTGGTACTCCAAGTACCACCATCTCGCATCTTTTCATGATATATTCCCCATATAGAATCACCGCCATCCAGCGGACATTCCAAGGACTGAACGAGAGGTGACACACGCACACTTTCTTACGGCTTGCGCTTCGGGTATACTTCCCACCTTTAACCACCCCGAGTTCATGGTATATACTAGTTCTCTGTATTCGTGGCTGTGCGGCCCAACGCTCGCTAAACCTTTCTAAAACCAAGGTTACGCCCAGCGAGCATAACGTAGCAACCTCTTCCTGTCAGATAGTGCTCAATGTACATGCCAATGGTTGCTAATGAAAAATGAGAAACGGGAGAATTCGGCTTTTGCTTTCTTACGGCTTGCGCTTCGTATCTACATCCCACCTTTAACCACCTCGAGTTCATTCATGGTATATACTAGTTTATTGTATTCATGGCACTGCGGCTCAACGCTCGCTAAACCTTTCTAAAACTAAGGAGGTTACACCCAACGAGTTTAACGTAGCAACCCTTTCTTGTCAGGTAGTGCTCAATGTACATGCCAATGGCTGCTGGATCGCAGCGTGCGCGTTAACTAAAATCCGAATGCTCCTGTCTCTCATTCCCCATTAGCAGCCATTGGCATGTACATTGAGCCCTATTTTTTATTGTTCAACAACGCACAGAGGAGATCTCCCACCAGCATCACCTTGGAGGTCAAAATGTAACAATTGTTACACACCACAACTACGAGGGACGAACGGGTGCCGCTATAAGAAGCTTCACTCCTAAAA